ACAGATGGGGTCGGCTATCATCCATCCGAAGTACTGCATAAGAAGTGCTGATATAATCACTCCAACACTTCCCAGAGTATCGGCCAGAATGTGAAGGAACACGCCCTGCATTATCTGCCGATTGCTTGTATCACTACCAGAACTGGAATGGGAGTGACCGCCACCGCCGTCGTGGCTGTGGCCGTGAGAATGTGAGTGACCGTTGTGTGAGTGACTGTGTGGGGCGTCGCTGTCGTGTGAGTGTCCGTGCATAGCGCCACCATGTTGGAAGACAAAAATGCCCACTAAGTTCACTAACAATCCCAACACTGAGATGAGGAACAGTCTCTCGTGTTTCACTTCTGGCGGTTCTATCGCTCGTTCGACGGCCTCTGAGAATATGAAGAATGCGATGAATAGGAGGAACAATCCGTTCACAAAACCGGCGATCACTTCGGCCCTCACGTATCTAAACACATGCAAAACACATTCAATTAATGTCATTATCTACTGATTAATTGGTTACCCGTAGGAAAATCTCTCGTTTGATCTCCATTTGGTGATCACTGAAGCGGCTAAACCCGCCAATAGAGCCGTACAGTCAAAGAACATATGAAACGAATCCGATATTAGGCCGAGACTAAGGACAGGATAAATGAAGTGAAATGTTAGCTCATCGACGTTGGGATGTGATTGCAGTACCTGTTAGTCCAGATACCATACGTGAGCTCAACGAAAGCAAACGAGAGATTCAATAGTAAAAAGAGAAATAAATTTCTCGAGTTTTTATCCGACAATATTAGCCTATAATTGGTTTAAACAACAATTAGTGAGTGACAAGCGATGGGCCGACCGGTGAGGCCATGTGTGTGACATACCTGAGCCATCCGCTCAGCTTTTCCCTCAGTTTGAAAACATGGGTTACTTTATATTGTTTATCATTTGAATATATGGGTAGCATTTGGGACAGCGTTTGGGCAGCGGTTGGGCCGCTCTTCGGGTCACTCGGTCTGGGAATAGGATTCGCACACTTCGGCTAAAACTAATGGCTAAACACTTTTGAAACACTGGAAAAACACACACAAAATAAGGTACAGCTGGCAGTCCTTCAATGCATTGCTCTCAACACTAACACAACACTATTAACGCTCACTTCAACCCAACCCCTCAACACAGACACATTGAACCCCCGAAAGCACGTTATTTATGGCCTATAGACTCGTTTTGTGCATAACTTGTGGCAAATGAACACAATTTGTCCATAAGTTTAGACATCAAGTGAGGAAAGGGTTGGCCAGACATGTGATGGACGTAATTGATGGCCAGTAATACATAAACAAACGTTGATTTGGATGTGATTTGGCTGCGAATGGTGTGGAAGAGAGTGTGGGAAGCGTTGCAGTGATAGTCACGTGAATAGTGTTATGACAGTGTAATCATTGCTCGACTTTGTTATCAATCGACAGATTAATTGAAGTATTGATCGCTTTTTTGTTGTGATATATAGTGTTTGTGTTTGTATTGAATGCTTTAAAAGTGTGTAAACGTAATANGTATTGAATGCTTTAAAAGTGTGTAAACGTAATAATGAACTCAACTAATGGTGTAATTGTCTCAACGAATCCCAGTTTCAGTACAACAAGACATGAGACAAGTGTTGCACCGCTTGTGGAGCGCATCCAAAGCGATCCCAAGACTCGCCACTAATTCAAATAATGATCACTTATTTTCGCACATTTCTAGCGATCGCTTGTTTTTGTTTGCTTTAAATTCAGTCCGTTTTTATCGCTTCACACCACAGATGTCTTCTACGGATCCCCACTTCACGGAACCCATTGAACCCTTTCGGCCGAAGAAGGCGTTAGTATTGACTAAATTTTCGAGATATGAGTTCGAGAAGAAGCGTAACCCAGATCTCAATGAGGAACAACTCATCGCTAGTGTATGTATTCAGTTGTTGTCCACCACTTGTCATCACTTAATTATCCTGTATTTGATTTGTCCATCAGTTGTCGAGTCGCGGAAGTGATTATCAGAAGTTGATATCTCACCACAATATCCATAAACAAAATCGAGACCATATTATTGAATGTCTGACCGCATCGGGCATTGAGACCAAAGTTGTGAACCGAACCGAATATAATGACAATAACATCGATTGGGCGGATGTTATCATCACATCCGGAGGCGACGGAACCTTTTTGATGGCCGCCTCTAAAGTCAATAATCGCAATAAACCGCTAATCGGTGTCAACAGTGACCCGAAACGCTCTGTCGGACACCTCTGTCTTCCGATCCGATATTCCAATGATTTCGGTTCAGCTCTTCGGCTGTTCAGCGAAGGAAAGTTTAAATGGAAATACAGGCAAAGGATTCGCGTAATACTTGAGTCCGAGAACGCCAACGAAGAACCCCTTGAACTCCACGAACAGCAACTTAAATGTCTTGAGAACCGCTTCTTAGATATGGACGGAAGTCATGAATCGATGCCACACAACGAGACGAAGAACCAAAAGAGAGAGAAAAAGACTTTGCCGTATAAGGCGTTAAACGAAGTGTTTGTCGGCGAATCCATATCTTCTCGCGTCTCATACTATGAGTTCTCAGCGAACGATAAAAAGAAAGCGAAACTTAAGAGCTCGGGTCTGACGGTGTGTACGGGCACGGGATCCACGTCTTGGTTCTTCAACATCAACAAAGTGACGCCACAATGCGTTCAAAGTCTGTTTCAGATAATCAATGCCGAAATCAATGGCCAAACTTTGCCCGAAAACGACAGCAAAGCCATCGAAAGAGTGACCG